GCAGAAGGGGTTGTGTATCGTGTTGCACGACATTCAACCCTTGTACCGCTAAACTAGAGATAAATACGAAGGCTCCGCGCCACGCGAAAGTGGGTAAGACGCGGCGGAGAAAGCAGCGAAGAAACCAGCCACCTACGAGTTCACGGTGCTACGAAATTTTTCACCTTCCCCTCGGAATTTTCCGTCGCTTTTTCGTCACCCGTTGCCGCCCGCGAAACCTCGTTTTCCGCGTATTCGACATTTTGAAAAAGCTTCTTAGATCTCTTTTATCAGAGACATAAAATTTGAAAGTGACATTAACCCATTTGCATCCAAGCGCGGAATATTCCGCGAGCCGCGACTGTCTACTATCACCAAGCGCGGAATATTCCGCTGTTTACTATCGTCAGTTGAACGTCGCTGATGTTTCGATGCGGAAGCTTAAGTAGAGCGATGATGCAAATGGGTTAAATGTTAATAGTTCTCTGTAATCAACGACTAATTTATGCACATAACGGTTTAAATTATATTAACAACAAAAAAAAAGTAATAAAAATAATGTTTCGAGTTCGTGGACCTCAATAAATATAACGAGAGAAGCTTGGCAATGAATTTGTTGTTAATAAAAATATCCTCGATACAGGTGGAGCCACTATCCTAAACAGACCGCCAAATATCGAATACGCGAAAAACATCGCGTGCAAATGATTTCGATCGATCGTGTTAAATTTTAAAGAAGCTCCATAAAACAAGGTTTCGTGTGCGCCACACAGGCAAGAAATCCCCCGGAGCTCTTTTGCAACATTTAATCTTGATTCCCACTAGTTGCTCAACGGACACTCGTAGAACGTGTTGTTCAAAGAGAAAGAAATCAGTTCCAGGGTTAAGGAGAATGCGGACATTTCGTTGAGTAATATTTGCGTATTTATAGGCTTTATGAACGCTGTCTGGAACGTTCGAGCCGATATAACTCGCTTGTTCCTTCCAGATCTGAGTTTTCTTTCTCCCGGTGATACATTCAGTGGCACTGATTCGAGCCGCGCGAAACATCAAATGGCTCAGTTCATGCTACCCCCTTCTCCTTCACAATGGAGCAGCTGAAACCTTTTGAAATATCTCGCCCCGGTGCAACGATATTGTATCGATATCTTTGTGACATTTAATATTTATAATAGATCGTCGATTCTATGAACAAATTATTATTTATTAAACACGTATTATTGTGCTTTGAGGATGAATCCCGATACGTGCAATTAATATTACGCATATTTTATTTAAATGGTTCGCGTGCAAATACGTTACACGTATTTCGACAACCATAATATGGGGAATGTGTTAAAGAAAATGGAGAATCTTGCATACAGATGCATATTTTATACATCTTCTTGAATTCTTCACTGAATTGGGAATTTATTACAAATTTCGAAAGTTACGAAACTGTTAGATACTTGTCGTGTATTGTTTATATAAATAAACTACCCTCAATAAACACTTGTGATTAAATAGAAATTAATCTCTTCCTTTTCTAAAAGGCTCATACTATTGTTTTATAGTGTATCATTTTGAAAGAATCCCAAACGACAGGTTGAAGACTCTTGAAACGATTAACAACGGATCGAATAAATAAATCATTTTTCGATCGATAATCTATTATAGATTTTAAATGTCAGGGAACTGTTGACAGTGCAACTTCATAACGACTACGTACACGTAGATTAGTGGCCCAACAATTCAGCGCGCTTAGACACATTGTAACGCCAACGTCGTCCAGCGTTTCAGCGGACGTAACGTAGCAGGAGTAGCATGAATTGGTCCCACGAGCGATACAAATCCGTATTGTCGATTAATCAGTTCGATTAGAAGGTCGTTTCATTGTATAATCGCGGTCAAAAACTATTCCAGCAGCGATAGTATCATTGCATTCAGAGATACGCGAATAAACAAAATTGGAGACGATGAGAAAAAAACCTTTTTTTTTGCTATTAAAGATAATTCATCGTAACTAAAACAGTGCACACCATACAGTTTACGTTCATCGATTTGCTTATTAATTATTCGCTCTTCATAGCGTAAAAAGTCCTGGAGAATATTGGAATCGAACATGGACGCTTCGCAGGATCGTAGCCAAGGATCGCGTATCGCGAGGGAGCGTCCAAAGCAACGTGACGATCTTTTCCCCGTGGATCGTCGTAGCCTAGCGGGAATCAAGCGTTATCGCGCGTCAGAGATGACTTAGCCGTCTTCGCGAGCGATTCTCTCTCCGATCGAACGTCCATCCTCTTGTCTATCGAACGGTCGACCGTTCAGCGCGAAAGTGTTGAACGCAAAGCATCACGAGGATTCGAAGAAACGTCATACCGTGGCGGAACAAAGCAAAGTGTGGTGGGTTGGGGGGGTAACAGTTCGTAAGACGCACGAGGGAAGCGTGTACGGGTAGGAAACGCAAGTTTCTATGGCTGGCTACCGATCGTTCTCTATAATACATTTACGCTCCGGCCTATTATAATATTGTACTCGAAGCGTATTGTCTTTCCCGGCCGGGATAATGTTTCGTCGACACGCCAGGCCTCGACCCAGCGTATAACTCTTTCAATTTCCCCTTTCTCTCGCTCTTCCTCGACCCCCGGTGTGTTGCTCCGTCCTCGGTTCTTTATTTCTTTTTAAACAACGATCCATTAGCTATCAGGCCGACGGAGAAGGGACGGGGCTAGTAGATAGCCTGGAATAGCGAAAACAATTTCAAGAAATCTGCCCCGGCGAAAATTCGATTAGCCGCGCAAGATGGGCTCGAGCTTTCTATCTCTCTCTCTCTCTCTCTCTCTCTACGATCTCCCTCCATTTGTTTCGTTTCGTTTTATTTTATTTTCACCGGTCGGACGGACTCTGTTTCTGTCGCGCTGGCGGCTTTAATTACTTCTCCGCGCTGCTCTTCCGTCGCGAGAACCTCTCTCGTCGCGTTCCTGTTCTCGCTCTCGTCCTTATTCCTCCTCTTCTTCCCCGTCTTCTTCATCCTCCTTTTGGGTTTCTTTTTATCCGCGACTCGATCGCGCTTCGCAAAGACGCGCTCCGCCACTTTTAACTCGAACCGTCTCACCCCGCGACGATACCCGCCTCGAACTCTCGGGCCCTTGTTATTTCATTAAACGCCGCTAATTTCGCGACAGAGCCGGATACCCAGCCGTTCCGTCGGCGTAGGTGAAAAGTCTCCTCGAGATTTATCGAGAACGCGCGAGATGGGTCGAGGGTGGAAGCTCGGTAACGCTTCAGCCGCGGATTAGCTTTCAATTAAAAGGATCCCGATCAGCGGAGGCGCCGAAAGAACGATATTTATCGTTCCGTGAGGAGGCGACGTGTGGCGCACCTGATACGCCCGGAGGAAACTCCCTGCGGCGCGAAGACAAAATTTCGATCCGAATTCGCGTAAAAATTTTAGTCATCGACGTTTCGTTCGTGGCTGTACCCCTTCCTCTATCCGGACGTTGCTCGCGCAGGGGGAGACGTTAGTTTACGACTGGTTACGCAACATGCCTGGTCTAATTGGCCGGGATGGAAAAAAAAAGAAAAAGCCCCCGATGGGTTTTTCAGCGCGACGAAAGAAGCGCGAAGCGAGAAGATAGCGAGGAGAAACAAGAGAAAAGACCGACTCACGGACGGCTCGACAGATGCCTTCCCACGTTTTTTCGTCGAGGCATGTGCCCGGCGCGGCGAAAGGGTTGAGAAATTCAGTTGGCCGGCCGAGTTCCACGGCAAAAAACTACCCCACGGTACAAGATTCCTCTGGTAATCGGTGCGCGCCGCGATTCACCGCCAGGGGTGAATTCGATTAAGCCTCTCGCGGGTACCTAAAGCGATCTTTTTCCCAGATCGGTCGATTTCATTTTTTTTCCCCCTCGATTTCTATCCGCCGTCCACGTCGGGTTCGTCGCGACTCTTCTCCCCCCCTCCTTCGCGCTTTGTATTCCGCGTGCAGTAGACGCGTCAACGAGCACCGATTGTCCCGGTTGATCCTCAGCGACTGGGGGAATTCTTCGAGTCATCGTGGTTCCGTTGCCTCGTCCTGTCGAAGACTCCCGGCTGGATCTCTCCGACTCTCCGTTATCCCTCGGCGATTTTCAGACGACACCCGGGGACGCGTTGAACGGTCCATCGTTCGCGACAACGAGAACTGGCCCGCGGGTTCAAAGTTCGTAGCGGCTCGTCGGTGAGTAAAACCACAACCAAAGCAGTCAGAAGCGTTAGTCTTACGAGGAGCCCAGCAGAACGATCTAAGCTACCGTTAGGATCTCTCTGTCTATTGTTCACGATACACCGCGGGGGGGGGACTCTGGGTGTTTTTTTTTTTGCGTTGCGTGGGCACTTGGCGGGACCGGGAGCGGAACTCTCTGCACGGTTTCGACGCCGATCTCTTCGACGATACATCTCGTGAGAATAGAGAGCAACGATCAAGAGACAGAGGCGCATCGTGCATCGAGTCGTCCACCCGCAGAAAGTCGAGATTTAGCCTGTCGATGGTCCTTGTCGTTTAAACGAATCTCTATGAACGATTGTCGAGAGTAAAAAAAAAAAAATAGAGTAGAATGGAACCTAATCGTTAAAATAGAGAGGAATGAATCTATAGATCAGTTAGGACAGAAGCATGACCCGCCACCATGTGTGCATTCAGAGAAACGCGTTGTTCCGTGCCGCGAAAGAAACAATATGTGTAAGTTATTAGGCATATAAATGTTCGTCCGGTAAGAAGAGCGTTTAGCGGAGATTGGCGAATTACGGTATGATAATGTATAAGATACGTATACGTATATAAATATATATATATATATGTATATATATATATATATGTATGTACGAGTTACATCGCACGTGTACAACCGTCCGATTGATTCTAGAGACCCGATTCTCCGGATCATTCCGACCGTGGTTCTATTATTATCGTGTGCGAGCACCGCGTTAAGTAGCCAAAATGCCTGTTGTCGTTGTTGTTGGTGTTGTTGGACGTCGGATTTGGTACATACATGACTGACCTTCGACGTGTGGGTACGAAGGCTGGATTCTGTGGCGAAGCCTTTGCCGCAGATGTTGCAATGGAACGGCCGGTTCTTCGCCCGTTCCACCTGGGCGTCGTGATTTCGAAGGTGCTGCTGCAAATTCGATAGCTGAATGAACGCCCGCCCGCAATCCGGTAGATGGCACTTGTATGGTCGTTCACCTGCAACCAGAAAAGTGGATACCGTCAACAAATCGCCGGGATCGAGCATGATCTATCGTCCTGGCAACGGACGATCGTGCCTGAAGGAACTCCGGGCTTGCTTGCACATCGGCGACATATCAAACCGAACGACTCGATACCAATTTTCATCCGATTTACTCAAAATTTACGGAATTTTCAAAGAAACATTCACTTTTTTACGGGTTTTTGAAATCTTTTCTTCAAAGTTCCACCATTTTATAATAAATTATTGTTTTTGTAAATCCTTACGTCTGATCAAAGCTACTGGCTTACGGTTGAAGAAAATTGCATGATTTCTTGTTTTAGAATTTTCGATTTATTTTCAATAAATTTTTGGAGGCCCCTCACGCTGGTTACCATTATGTCTACAATAATTAATATTTTCGTACGAAATTTTTACAAGAAGTAGTTCAAAGAATCTTCTTTCGAACCCATTGAATATTTATTAGAAAAAGTTTCAGAGTTACCCCCCAAAAAATTCTTGAAAATCTCATTTATTTTCGGCCCTCACAGTAGTTTCCCCCTTAAATTACTTTACGTAGATTTGAATTTATTTATTAGACTAATTTAAAATTTAAAATATTTAAAAAATAGTTATAACGTTGAAATGTAATTTTTTATTTGATTTTGGTTTGAATTTTAAAACGAAAAATTTGTTAGAATTCAAAGTCGAGAGTAATCCGATTCGAGGTATATTATTTTTATTCCGTATTTAATCGTGGTATAACGTCACGAGAACACGATTTTCGTCTCTGAAAATTGCATGAAATTATTAGTTTTTATCGCCCTTTGGACATTTTGTATATTTTATGCAACAGGCCGATTAATGATACCAGGCGATTATTGATTCCGACCGCGACGGAAATACGAACAGCGTACGCGAGACAGAGGCTGATACTTTTTTTTCCGGCCACGAGCAACAGGTATCAGCCGTCCAGATTTAGGGGCGAGCATAAAAAATGCCACTCGTTTTAAAACGGCCATTAGAGTCGCTGTTTTAACAGCCCCGTAACGCACGACCTCGTTTAAAAAACGATGAATGAGAATTTGCTCCTCCGGTGCTCTCTATCTCTCCATCTTTTATTAATAATCCTTAACATTACTTCTCGCATCAAGCGTAACGACCACTTTTATGGAAATGTGTAGTACAGCCATTTAACAGCTATTTCTGATCCACGAATTTTTTAATTGAAATATTCATCGCAAATTCACTTGGACGAAAAGCTACTTAATTTTTGTAACATTTATCGAAGACAAGGATTAATGCAATTATAATGCACTTATACAGGGTGTTCGGCCACCCCTGGAAGCCAAAATAAGACGAAAATCAGGAATATCAATTTCTCGATTGAGGCCTCGTTAAAAAGTTAATAAACAATTAACTTAAAAATTTCAAATCATCGTGAAAAAATTATTTTTGGTTGCGGGGGTCAATTACAATCATTTTTGGTCGATACACATATACTCGAAATCCTACTTACTTTCGAGAAAAAATTCATTATTAAAGATATAATGTCTGACCATAACTGTCTGGTTACCCTGAAAAAAAAAAATTTTCAATCGTTCTGAAAAAATTATTTTCAGTTTCAGGGGTCAATTACAATCATTATTGGTCAATAGACATACCCTCGAAATCCTATCCATTTTCTAGAAAAAAATTCGAGAAAGTGAAATTTTTCGACAAAATTAAAAAATTTCAGATCGTTCTGGAAAAATTATTTCTTGTTGCAGGGGGCAATTACAATCATTTTCGGCCAATATACATACCCCCGAAATCCTACTCATTGTCTAGAAAAAAATTCGAGAAGGTGTGAAATTTTACAACGATAAAAAAATTTCAAATCGTTCTGGAAAAAATTTTGTTGTTTGCGGGGGTCAATTACAATCATTTTTGGTGGATAGACATACCCTCGAAATCCTACTCATTTTCTAGAAAAAAATTCGAGAAATTGAAATTTTTCGACAAAATTAAAAAATTACAAATCGTTCTGAAAAAATTATTTCTAGTTGCAGGGGGCAATTACAATCATTTTTGGCCAATATACATACCCCCGAAATCCTACCCATTCTCGAGAAAAAAATTCAGTTACGTGCGGAACTTTAAACGTTAATAATTTTTTAACGAAGCCTCCATCAATAAATTAGTATTCTTGATTTTCGTCTTATTTTGGCCCCAAGAATCTCCTATTAAAATTTTTCCGAGGGGTGGCTGAACACCCTGTATAAATTTTTTTCCCTTTCACGATTATTTTACTGTTTGATTAATATTTATAATTATGACACCGTCGGGGCAATATCTTTCGTAACCTCTTGTAATCAATTCGTTTCTTCCGTAAGAGACTAGCTCGCAATTTTTATTGCATTTTTTCCATTTACCCTCTAATTCCTGCCAGCGATTGGCTCAATCTAACTTTTATTAATATCGACATTCTTCCCCAGTCCTTTTTACCCGGGGCGCTTGTTCTTTTTGTTTCTCCTTGCTTTTTCTTCTTTCCGCTACTTCCTGAATCCCCGATCGGCGAGGCTCATCTTTTATTCAGACCGGTCGGGGATTTAATAAAAATAATTCGAGATCAACCGCGTTTCTTTTTTTTTTCTCTCGATATCTCTCGTTGTTATTCCTGCGAGTCGACGGCGAAGGAAACAAAATCCTTAAGAGGATTTACGTTAAATGGAATTGCAAACTCCGGATGCCGAACGATCGGAAAGTAACTCGTTCGTTTGTTTTCTATCAATTTGAGGGACCTTTTTGCAAAGTGGCTAATTTTATCGGAGCTTTTCTAATTTTTGAGTCGATAATTTTCAAACGATTAGATACCTTCTATAATACCAGTGGTACAGTTTCTTTAAAACAAATATAGTCTAAACAAGTAGGTTCCCTTCACTCCAGAAAACGTGATTGTTTATAATTAAAAATATACAAGTAATTAAATTCTATAACAAAAAGATTCTCCTACAATTTAATTACGTGCACATTTCTAAGTATAAACAATTATATTTATCAAAATAGACTCAAATTAAGAGTCGAAACGTTTATTTCATATAAATAGCGCTTTTCTGGGCTATATTTGTTGCATTTATTTTGAACGTGCATCATAGTACACACTCGCGTATTACAGGTTTTACTCAAATGTGTATCTACTTGGGTGTTCCGATCGAAGGCCTTGAAATATTAATCATGCAATTTCATAGATTAAACAAGATTAATGCTTTTAGTACTTTTTATACTGCCATTTTTCATTAGTGGTAATAAGCTCTGGATCATTCGTTCGTATAAACATCGTAGCGTTCTAGATCCGCCATTTTCTGATGTATCAAAATCATTTTTCTTCTCTAACACTAGATTTACGGGCATTGATCATATGTATATTTATTGATACCTTTCATGTTGACGATTACCTTACAATAAGATTTTTCTTTTAATTATAATATGTATTCAAATTCAACATAAGTTGTTGAAAAATCATATTTACGCGTTCTGCAATTTTAAATATGGAATCAGACACCCGTAAAATTGACTGTTTCCGTAAATCTAGTGTTAATCAGCTAAAAATATATGCTTTTCTTGTAGATGATTGATAAATAATAATAGTATATTTTATGGTCTACAGTGAGGATTTAGTGATTGAAATATAGCTGTACCAAGATTGAAAATCAATACCAAAAGTGCTTTAGGCGATAGAATTGAGAAATTACATACTGATTAAGATACCTTGTAGAGACATACCGCAAAATGTTTCATAAATTTCAAAACGCAGACTCAGTAATATTTCCAATCGCGGTAGTGGCGGAAGAATATTTTAGTGTCGTACGGAAAGGTGCGGAATCGTCGTGGAAAATTATATAGCCGGCGCGGGATCGAACAAAGAAAAATGTCGGAAATTTCTTGGGAATAAGGCCCCGTCTCCACCGCCGTGAGATAACCACGACGCTTGTAATATTCTCATTACTCGTTTCAATGGCGAATTAACGCCATCGGGGATGGGGTGGCGTAAAAATTATTTATCGCATTGTGTCCGCGCGATGAATACATGAATGCAAAAGCGTCCCGTACGCGGTGGAAACGCCGCGGCGGGAAAGAGAAGAAGGGAAGATCGGAAGGCGGCGCGGAACGCGTGGCAAAAGTTATAGCCAATACGTAAACTATTACTTTTACGAGCTTTACTTTATCATTTTTACAGGCGCCACCAGACACCATTTTATGATTGGCGTTTATTTAGGCGGCTCTCCGTGTACACGCGTAAAACTTTATCGTGTTTGCATCTACTTGGAACACGCGCGTTTTAACGCGCGCCGTGTCCCGGTGTCGCGCGCCGTATTCCTGTTAATTAATTTGTCAACGATGCTTTCTTCAAACGACACGGAGGGGCTTTAAATTATTGCTACGGAGCGTGTTCATTAACCGAACCGTGCGATGTATCGAGTGTCCGCTCGATACGGGTACTTCTCGATTCTATGAAATTATAATTCTTCGGTCGGATGAAATTATCATCGTATTTAATGAAATTATCGCTACCATTTACGCTTTTCCAGCCGGTCTCCGGCGACGAGACCTTAATGGAAATTGAACTTTTTATATTTCTCGCTTGTAACTTTGTAAGAGCATTACCGACGATTTTGGCCAGATTCTGTCGATGACAACGAGCCCAAATACGACGCGTTTCACGCGGTTATTTAAATAATTTCTAACAAATTTAAACTACATGTGATTAAAAGTGGTTCGAAGAAGATTCGGGCTCATTTTTATCGGGATAACTTCGCTAAGTTGTTAATAATACTTTTCAAATTTGTATTCATAGGTGCAAGTTTATTTTCTCAAGTATGTAGTTTTGTATTAAATTTTCGAGTTCTAACAAAGCTAACGTAGTATTTTTATGATGTCAAACAAAATGAGTCGTATAAAAAGAAAGTTTTTTAATGCTTTGTATTTGAAAATATTATATTTTCCATGCAAGTTCTCTATGATCCAATATGCAATT